AAATACCAGGTGATGATGATGGAGTATTAAAGTTGGTACTCAAATTTAAACTATCTTTTTCTCCCCATAGAGTGTTGATTTTTAAAAATTTGATAATTAGTTTCTTTCACCAACTTCATGACCAAATTTCAGAGATATTAAAGTGTATCAGTGCCACTAAGAACACACATAAGCTGGTATAATTCTGATGCTTCATGCTATTATCCCCCCTCAAAGCAACCAAAGGTATAAGAAAAAATTTCAAAGAAAAAAAAAACAAGAGCAAACTTGGAGATCAGAGTCATAGTACAGTAGGTAGAGTGTTTTGACTTGCATGCGGCCAAACTGGGTTTAATCTCCAGCATCCCATATGGTCCCCCAGTCACTGCCAGGAGTGATTCCTAGGTGCAAAGCCAGAAGTTACCCCTAAGCATCGCTGAGTGTGGTACAAAAACGAACTAACAAAAAATACCAAAAACAAAAAAGCAAACTTGGCAAACTTTTGGATTAAAAAATTTAAAAGAAAACAATAATAAGATTTCCGAAAACCCTTCTCCTTTTAAGACAGGTGATTAGGCAACATTCTTTGCTCTTCTCCTTCCCTTTTCCTCTAGAACCAATGACCAGGGTCTCACACCAGCCTGACCTCCTGTTTGCACACCTGAACAGGATGCTTTGCTCATGATCTCACATCTGGCTGTGGCACTCGAAACCCAGGGAGGCATACTGTAAGGGAGGGGTCACACTAGCTATATGTGCTGGTGGCAGGGTCTGCCAGGAGTGTCTATGTTGTTCCCACACTTAATGGCCAGGTGCTCACTCACACCTGGCTGTGCACAAAAACTGTCACACTGCTGCAGAAGCAGGGGGCCCCAACAGGAGAGCACACATAGGATACTCCAGGTATCAAATCTATGTCCTCACACTTGCTTTGAAACGTTACATATTTGGAAGCAAGGCAGATAGTTCAAGCAAGCAAATGCAGGAGCCCCAGAATTGGTAACTCAAAACCCAGAATTTAGCAAGTAAACTCCATGATCCACAATCTAAAAAAAAATAAACAAAATTTATTTTAACACATTGGCGCCAGCACTGCGGATTGTGTTTATTAAGCCACAACCAAGCCACATCCACTGGTGGCATGCATAGTTGTTAACATGGTACTTATCTGATCTTTCTAAATTTCTCACAAATCTTACTAAATTTAATTCTTTAAGTTGTTTCTCTTTATTTGCCAAAATATTTTCAATCAAAATTATTTTTAAAATGAGCTGAAGAGATAGTATAGCAGGTGAAATACTTGCCTTGCATTCTGCCACCCTGGATTCAGCCTCTAACACCACATATGGTCCCCAGAGAACTGCCAGGAGTGATCCCCGAACCCAGAGACAGGAATAAGGCCTGAGCATCACCCAGGTGTGCCCCCCCCCAACAATATTAAAATTATCTAAAAATAAGATACAAAAATCAAACAAAAATAAATAGTAGTGGCTCTTTATATTTCTATCCCAAATAATATCAAAAAGACCCATGAGATTTCTCTATTTCCTAATGCAAGTATACCTGCTTCATCCTGCCACCTTCTCCAAACCATAAAGATTCCCCTGCTTATTAAATTTTCTAACACCTAACTTAGCCCTTTCCACATATTATAACTAATTTTTCTGAAGTATGAAGCTATGTCTTCACTGAATAGGAATTAGCCTTTTACAAGTTTATTATTTCCCAGAGTTCTCAGACATAAAAAGCAAATGTTCATTGAATAAAGAACTCAGTTGTCATAGAGAACAGCTTGCACACTTAAAAAAAAAAGAAGCTTCAGAAAAGATATAAATTTCAAATCAGTTGGATTCAATGCCATATTGCTGGATGAAAGATAATGCCTTGCACACAGCAGGCATTTTTATTTTCTTTACCTAATGTGTTCTGGTGAAATCATTCTCTTTCTTATAACACCATGAAGGTGTATAAGCAGACTGTAACTTCTTTTTTTCATGTATCTATCAACTGTTTATATTCACTAGGCTTACAACGTTGATCACTACAAGGAATCCTAAACATTAATGTCAATTCATAAATAACAACACCAATTACACCTTTGGATGGTGATCAAATGTCCATGACTGGGACTGGTGAGATAGTACAGTGGGTAGGGCGGTGGCCTTGTACACAACCGGCCCTAGTTCCAGCCCCAGAGCACCACCAGAGCTAGGAATAACACCTGTGCATTGCTAGGTTTGGCCCAAAAACAGGAAAAGGAAAGAAAAAAATTCATGACAGTTCAGGAAATGTTCCTCCAACCTATTTTAACAACAAGCTCTGTACTGATCATGAATTGTGCTCTAACCTCAGGCTTATTAATTACAAGGCCATCTGAACATGTGGAGTCCCAAGTTCCTCTGAAGAAAACACTTATATGCAAGAGCAATGCAGCTTAACACAGGATATGGCCTTTACCCCCGCCACTCCCACAGGCAATCCTGGTTTCACTCAGAGTGAGAAATGATCTCAGAACAAATCCTGCAATTTGGGGCACATGTTATGATTAGTTACCCAGGTAGGATTAGACCCTGCAAAGAAATAAGACCCTCATCTTCAATTCACACCCAACAACTTCATAGGATCTAGTTTTAAGCCTTATGAAAGGGACCAGATAAATTTAAGTCAGGGTTCCTTAAATTTTTTCCAGTAGCAATTTTTTTTCACCAGAGAAATGCAGCGTGGACAAATGGGGCCAGAATCATCTCAGATTCATTATGTAGTTGATTCTAAATTAATTTTTGGTTGTTACACATCCAGGAAGCTTTTAGTGTAGCCAATTTGTTTTTGTAACCCCCATATTGAATTACACAACCCCACATGGGATAGTGACCACAATTTAGAGGGCTAGAATCTAAACACTATCTATTTAAAAACCTGTTTTAATGTTAGCCTTTCATTTACCTCCAATTAAAACTGCTGAACATATTTAAATTTGCTCACCATACGTAAGTAGTCACTAATTTGGGGAAATATCCTTTGGTCTGCCCTTTAAAATAGCTTATCATTTTTACAATGCTGTGGAAGGCAAATTAACTACGTTCTTTGTATCACTGTTAACATCAATAGAATATGCTTTTAAGGTGAATAATTGAGAATAGATATATTTTAATGTTAGCATCATCTTTCTCCTTGCTTTCCTAATATACTGCAAATGTAATGAGCAATGATACATCTTAAAACAATAAATTTAGATGCAAAATAACTTACCTTTCACATATGTAGCCTACATTATAAGCATATATAATCCTAGTCGTAGATGATTTATTTACATGTATGCATGTTTTATGTATGTAAAATATGCATGCATTATAAGTACATAAAACATAATTGCATAAATAAAGAACATACAGTCGATTATGTATGTTTTGCAAGCGTTTACTGTGCAGATGCTGACACTCTAAGATTAAGTGTCTGGTGAACAGGTGACTAAAAATCATGAGGGTGGGGATACAGTAGGGCAGAAGTCAGGATCATCACGTGGGGATTGGGACGTTCTAAGCATTCAGCAATAAGAAAAAATACCTGGAGATATAGTCAGCATTTACTTAATAAACAATGTGATAAGCATGCTTCGGGTGAGACAAGGTGGAGTTTGATCTGAAACTCGACGTGGATCTCCTATTACAAGGAGTGATGTCATCAGGTTTTTCAGATTTTTCGCTCTAAGTCTATCATGAGTGACCATGTTGATTAGATCCCTATTGACTAGCCGGAGAAGCCGACTTTATTCCAGTTTTCAAAGCTCTTCAGTCTTGCATTCACACAAAGGAACAGCGACGGGTAAAATAAGCCAGCCTCTCTATTGGTGGCCGCGGTCGCCTCTCCGTTCCAGGCGTGTAACCTAAGCTTGCACAGATGGCCTGGCCCTCTGCTAATGCGGGGAAGCTGGGTTTGTTTTCAGGGTGGGTGCTGGAAAACGCCAGGTGTATTTATAGACCGGATCAAGAACGAGGATGGAGGAATGATGACAGAAGAGGAAGTTTCTTCCCTTTGGTAAGGAAAGCCTGTAGGAAAGATCTGGATGGCTGAGATGCCATTTCTGACACGCTGGGCTCCCAGCTAGGTAAACTTGTTAAAAATCCACCCCCCCCCCACCCCCTTTGGGTATACAGCCGGCAGACAAACGAAAATCGTGTAGGTAAAACCGGGGACCAAGTCGGCGATCAGTAACGAGCAACCTGCCCTTCCATCCTCCGGCTCCCCCAGAATCTCACCTCTGAAGCCACAAAGACAAGGCTGCAGCGTGAAAACCAAAAGGCCCGAGCTGCATGCTCAGCAGAGGCGACTTGAGTGGAAGCTCCCTTATTTACCCGAGCACGTCGCTTTAAAAGGCTCTGGGCTATTGATTAAGAGGGGAGACACATGTAAAAAGCATCAGCCAAGGGTAAACGCTGCGGGAAGGAGGGGAGGCGTCCCTTTATGTAACCACTAAACAAACTTCGGAAGCTGCGGATTTCCTGTGCACCCACTCCGCGACCTCAATTAAAATCACAAAAGCACGTAGCGCGGGGACCCACACAGCCCATCTGCCGCAGCCCGGGCCAATTCCACATCGAGCTATTTTGCATAACTGTCCTCAATCCCCAGGCGGCTCTGCTGCCACCAAACCCGCTCCATATGGGTTTGGAAGCCTGGAGAGAGAACGGGGATGGCAAAGTGGGTAGGTCTGATAACAGAACCGAGAAAACAAGGCGGTGATGAGGGGGCGGGGTGGAGCAAGGTGGCAGAGACGCGACCGGCGAGCCAGAAAGACGGCGGCTTAACAATGAGGGAAAGGCAAGAAGAGACTGCGACAAGCCAGCACCGACCCCGGGTCCCCAGCGGGAGCTGAAGGCGAGGCCGGGGGCGTGCAGAAGCGTGGGAAGAGCGGAAAAGGGCTGGAGATGAAGTGAGACCATCTGATCAGGCAGGGACGCCCGAGGAGCACAGGAGCAGGTGCAAAAGCCTCGTGCGGGAACAAACGGGCTCGGGATACTCACGGTGTAGAGCAGGTTGAGCGCGCACAGGCAGTTCTTGGAACACGCGAAGCCCCCGCAAACCATCTTGGCGGCTGCAGGTGAATGTGGCTCCGACGGAGCCTTCCGCTCAGCCTCTTTGTCCTTGCCTTTGCAGGGGGGTTGACCGAGGCGAGGCGCCGGCACACACACGCGGGCCGGGAGGGTGCGGGTCTGGGGTTGCAGCCCGCGGCGACTGGGACCCGCTCTCTGGAACCTGCGGCGGCCGCTGCTCGCGCACCCGCCGGAGCCCCGCCCAGCCTCCCTGCTCGCCCCGTGCGCCGATTGGCCACCGGTGGGGAACAAAGGTAGAAATATGCAAATAAATGCGCTCAGCCAGCCGGGAGCGGGGAGGGGCGGGGCGGGGCGGGGCGGGGCGGGCGGCCCGGGGGCGAGCGCGGGGAGCTGGGGATGTGGGGGAGGGAGCCTGAGGTGTGGGCCCGAGGCCGTGGCCTCTCAGTGGTTTCCAGGGAAGCAGGTGAGAAGGGGGCGGGGCTCGGCGGAGCTCCGCGCCCGCCCAGAGAAACACGACAGCATCGCTCTGCTCTTGGCCCGGGCGGATGACGTGGCACCATTTTGCATGAGATTTTAAAATTTAGCAGCTGGCCTCGTTGGAAGGAAGGAAGGAATGCAACAATAGAGTGAATGTAAAAGATTGAAAACGACATGCATGGGGTGACCGGAGTGGAGAGGAGCAGGGAAGGAAGGAAATGAGTGAAAGAATGTTAAGGCGAGAATGAAACCTAAGGCAGTCCAGAAACTATGGAAAGCACCTGGTCTTTGTGATTCTCGTCTAAATCAGATCTCTCTATAGGGTTTTGAAAAATACTAATAAACTGTATTCATGCAAGCATGCAAAAGAAGATCAAGAGAAAGTATTTTGTTCCCCAAATCCAAATGTCTTTTTACAAATAAGAACTATTAAAATTTTTAATGATGTCCATGCTCACCTCAGTTACTTATCACTTTACTGAGTGTCTACTACAGAAATGCATTAGATTCTTCGCCTGTAAGTTGAAATAGTAACAATAAGTCAATATGTTTTATATGTTGTCTGGCACTGAGTAAGAGCTCACTAAAAGTCACTAGTGGTAGATCAAACAGGTTTTGAACACTTATTGATAACCGGACACTAAGTTAAGACAATAAAGAACTGGTTAATTTCATCATACTATTTTGTTATTTGTTTTGTTTGGGGGTGTCACACCGCAGTGTGCTCAGGTATCACTTCTGGTAGGGCTCAGGGGAACATATGTGGTATAAGGGATTGAATTGTAGTTGGCTGCCTGCAAGGCAAGAATCTTACCCCCTTTATTATTTCTCCAATCCTTCATTTTGTGAGGGGCATAATTTGTTTTTGTGAGGGGCATACTCTGCGGTGATCTCAGGCTATTCTTGGCTCTGTGTACAGGAGTGACCCTTGAAAGTTTCCTGTACCAAATATGGTGCCCTGGATTCCAGTTCCTGGACAGAAAAATGCAAGGCAAAAGCTTTAACCACTATACTATCTCTCTAGTCCTATTTCATCGTATTTTCTGCCAGAAAAGACCCTTTCAAAAAATAAGAAAGAAAGAAAATTTCAGAAACCAAAAAAAAAAAAAATAGTACAATTGGACAGGACTCCTGACTTGCATGCAGCTTATCCAGGTTTGATCCACAGGGCACCCCATGTAACACCCCTAACCCGGTCAGGAGTGATCCCAGAGTATAAAGCCAGGAGTAAGGACTGAGAACAGCTGGATCTGTCCTCTGCCCCCACACACACATTCAAAGAACTTCAGATAAATATGAACATATTTCATAAGTAACAGTTTATATCCAAAAGTAACAGTTATGGGTAGTCTGAATTTATCATTAGAAATAAATAATAAATCAAACAAAAACATACAGAAAATAAATATTATTCAAGTTGAGGGAAAGAATCACTACAAAGGGACATGAGGGAATTATCTGAGGTGATAAAAATATTTTATATATTTATAAAATATGTATTATGTGGTGGGCTGGAGCGATAGCACAATGGTAGGGCATTTGCCTTGCACACAGCCAACATGACCAACCCGAGTTCGATTTCTCCGCCCCTCTTGGAGAGCCTAGCAAGCTACTGAGAGTATCTCGCCCGCACGGCAGAGCCTGGCAAGTTACCCGTGATGTATTCGATATGCCAAACACAGTAACAAATGTCACAATGGAGACGTTACTGGGCCCACTCGAGCAAATCGATGAACAACGGGAGGACAGTGACCGTGACTCTTATTATGTGGTTACACATCTTTGTGTTTAAATGATGGAGAGTGAGATGTTAGAGTATTGTATACATAAAAACTTATCATTAAAAACATCAAAATTACAGTGCTTCAAACAAATAAATAAATAAAATGTGTCATAGACCCTGAAAAGAAAAATCACAGAAATTTATGCTGAAAAGAGTTAGCAGTAAATTTTTAATGGTTAGATCTATGAAAACGGTGAGCCTGTATTTTACCTCAATAAAGCTGATTTTAAAAATTATATGATGGCATATACCAAATATATGTTAAATAATGCATTGCAGCTAATTAAAATAATTTGTCTTTTTGGAAACCTGTGTTTCCTTTTCTAATATTTACTCACCTACTAAACCTCACCTCAGGTCACCAAGAAAATCCCATTGATTCTTTAGCTTCTGTATTCCACATTAACCTTTTATCTACACCCAGATGTGTTAAAAAAAAAAATCAATCTAGAAAATTACCCTTACAGGGGCTGGAGAGAGAGCACAGCGGGTAGGGCGTTTGCCTTGCACGTGGCCGACCAGGGTTCGATTCCCAGCATCCCATATGGTCCCCTGAGCACTGCCAGGAGTAACTCCTGAGTGCAGAGCCAGGAGTAACCCCTGTGCATAGCCAGGTGTGACCCAAAAATTAAAAAAAAGAAAGATTACTCTTACATTCAAATAATACATGGCTGCTCATATTCTTAAAATCAGAGAATTATTTAAGAATCAATAGGAAAATCTATTCTTCCTTGTCTCATTCAAGTAGTAACATTGTTACTATTTCAGTATTACTCAACCAATTATATCAACTCTACAATTAGTTACTTGCTAACAACACACTGACTCTCCCTATAGTTTGACCCCTTTTCTTTTATTCTGAGAAGCATCACCTATTGTGTGCCCAGTCAGAGGAAGATAGTACCTTCAAAAAACATAAATGAGAAAACTTTAGTAGACCCTGTTTTCAAAAGTGTGGACTCAATGAAAAGAGCCAATAAATGTGGTAGCACAGTGCAGAATTAGCAAGAGCAGGCAATTATGATTTCCCTTCAGTCTCAGGAGCAATTTAAAGGAGGATCTACAGAGTCAGGAAAGAACTGTAATTGTATGATGGCTGTCTGAAAGGAATCATGAACTTCACTGGGGGGGTCACAGAGGAGCGACTACAAAATGAGAAATAAAACAAAAAATCAGGCCAGAGAGAGTACAGGAGGTAAGGTCTTCGCTTGCCTTGTAACTGGACTGGCTTCAGTTCGAATCTTCAGCACTGCATATGGTGCACTAAGACTATAAGGTCTGATCCCTGAGCATAAATTCAGGGGTAAGCCTGAGCACTTTACTCAGTACAGGACCATTAGTCCCAAAGATTGTGGTCAGAAAAGGTTGTTCCCTCTCCAGTTATCTCAAGGTTCACATGCCTTCCCTGGGTACATGACAGTGACTAAAGATAGCTGAGTTCAGGACAAGAAGTTGAGAAAACATCTACAATACTATCTGGATCTTCTTTGGTTTGGGTTTTGTTTGTTTTTGTTTGGGAGGTGTGGGGGTGGGGAGAGGTCCACACCCAGAGGAGGTCTGGGCTCCCTCCTGGCTCTGCACTCAGAAAGCACTCCTGGCAAGGTTTAAGAGTCTACTGGGGGTGCCAGAGACCAAACCCCGGTCAACCGCGTGTAAGGCCAGCGCCTTACTTGCTATAATATCACTCCAGAGTAACTATCTGAATCTTAACCTAATCCAAGATGGTGATTGCCAATGGTAGGGAAAAACAGAAAAGAGAAACGTCTCTAGGGTGTACTGCAAGAGTCCTCCAAATCTAGAATAGGGAGAGATTGCACAAAGCCATAACTCAAGAGCAAAGAATATCCCCAGCAAGTCTTGCTTTGCAAAACTGTGTTCTCCCTTGGACACCTATCTTGCTTGCTCATCTGTTTGCTTTCCTATTTCCACTCAGGAAAAGCCTGTGTTCTCTTTTAAACACATACTTCTCTCTTTCTCTCACCTTACATCTTTCTAAATAAGTGTCAATAAAAACTCCCTTGCTTCACACACACACACACACACACCCACACACACACACCCACCCACCCACACACACACACGCACACACACACACACACACACACACACACACACTACACAGCATATATAATACATAAATTCCCAGAAAATTAAAAATACTGTAATACACAGAGAGTTCCAAGGCCTGAAATACCAGTGAATGAGCTTTTAAAAAGCACAAATAAAATAAAATTTCAGACCTCCTTCTATAGAAGAAAAGCCTTTAACCTCCAAGATATTTGAAGCCAATGCTGAACAGATAACAATACATCTAATATTACAGATAAGAATACAAATCTAGTTCAACCACAATGAAAATTAAGTAAAGTAAAGTAAAGGCCCTCCCGTTGATCATCAATTTGCTCAAGCAGGCCCAGTAACGTCTCCATTGGAGACTTTTGTTGTTACTGTGTTTGGCATATCGAATACGTCACGGGGAGCTTGCCAGGCTCTGCCGTGCGGGCGAGATACTCTCGGTAGCTTGCCAGGCTCTCCGAGAGGGGCGGAGGAATCGAACTCGGGTCAGCCATGTTGGCTGCGTGCAAGGCAAATGCCCTAACGCTGTGCTATCGCTCCAGCCCCTTAAAATTATACTTGCAGAGGTACTTATGATTAACAGTCTGTCAGATAAAGAATGTACCCATTATTTAGTTGTCTCTTTTATTTTTTATGCACACTGACACACAATTTTAAATAATTGAAATATTTGGATGATTAAGAAAATTTGACTTATGGTCAAAAAAAAAGTCATCAGAAGCAAAGTTAGAGGTCCTAAATATATATATATATGTACATATATTTATATACAGGTATATATATTAACACATATATGTTAAAGGTTTTTATGAAA